TATGTATACAGTATCTATTTAGAATCTATTTTTCTCCAGCTTTCTCCAGGATATGGTTGGTTTTTATAGCTATATGAACTCATACCTGCAGAATGAAGTGATGGGGGCTTACTAGAAGGGGTGCCAATGTGGCATCTGGGACAGCTGATGGGGGGGGCATCTGCATGATTGTCTGGTCTTGACTCTTTTTCTTTTATTTTAGGCTTGGCAGATACTTTGTGATATGCCATGCCTGCATGGTGGCCATTTTGGGACTGGTGCCACGTCAATTCTGTGGCATTCCAAATGTGTCTGCTGACCAAAAAGTATGGTGACCCCATGCATATAAGAGAGGGCTCTCTCAAATATGATAAATGTACAGTGGTACCTCCGGTTGCGGACGGGATCAGTTCTGGAGCTCCGGTCGGATCCCGAGGTTTCCACAGCCAGAGGGATCGCTTCTGCACATGCGCGCACGGCGAAACCTGGAAAAAATACTTCTGGGTTTGCCGTGTTTGCATCCTGAAGGATACGCAGTCGGAGGTGTGCATATCCAGAGGTACCACTGTATTGTACAAACAGCTCCAGGTCACACAATATATTCATTTAGACTGTAGTCTTCACCATATCCCTGGGGCTAATCCAGTTACTTCTAAATGGTCCTATGCATTAGTTGTTCTGCTTTATTGAAACCCGTTTAAAAAATCCTACCCATGCAAATCCCACACCTCTAGTATCATGTAATGTCTAAGCCATGTTGTTGACACTGCCTACTACACATGCAGCATTAGCATGCTGACACAACACACACACACACACACACACACACACACGAGGATGAATCTCTAGCATATATGCATAGGTGACTTGGTTTAGACATGGCACCAAATTCAAAGTACTCTGCTTTGCATGTTAGCTTTTTACACACACCGGGCGTTACATTTATATTCGACCTCAAATGAAAAGAACCTCAGCACTGGAGCAGACATGAAATACTCCTCTCTTTTTTTCTTTTAAACCACTATTTTCATAGAGCAGTACAGATATGGACACTTACAGAGTTTGGATAACAAAGCATTTTGAACAGCCTGATCTTCTGTGGCTCCAACTGAAAAGAGTACAGATGGAGTTGTTGGGACTTAGCTATACTGAGGTGATTATGGACACATATATACCATATGTTTAAAACATTCTTATACAGCTTTAATAGTCATAGCTCCCCACAAACAATCCTGGAGACAATGGTTTGTTAAAGGTGCTGGAGACCATAGAACTGTGAGGGGTCTCCTAACAACTCTCTGCACCCTCAACAAACTACAGTTCCCAGGATTCTTTGAGGAAAGCAGTGAGTTTTAAAGTGGCATGAGCACTTTAAAATACGGTGTGCATGAGATGTACGTGCACTCTGATCTGTGGTCCTAGCTTTACTTAGCTTAGAGTGATGTACTTGTGAGTAGGTATGCTTTGACTTGCAGCTTAAAGTTTCCATCAAAGAGACACCATCTTAGAATCGTAGAATCATAGAATCATAGAGTTGGAAGAGACCACAAGGGCCATCGAGTCCAACCCCCTGCCAAGCAGGAAACACCATCAGAGCACTCCTGACATATGGTTGTCAAGCCTCTGCTTAAAGACCTCCAAAGAAGGAGACTCCACCACACTCCTTGGCAGCAAATTCCACTGTCGAACAGCTCTTACTGTCAGGAAGTTCTTCCTAATGTTTAATATACACTGTACAGAAAATAACCTCTCTTTCTCTCTCTCTCTCTCTCTTTCTCCCCCTATATGAATATGTATGAGGGAAAGCTCAATAGTTGCCTCATGCATACACATTATTGTTCTACTCATCAGTTGTTTATTGCTTTGTGTTCACAATTCACTAGTGATTTGTTGTTTGCCTTGCTTCTGTAAAACAGATGAAAATATACCTTAAAAAGATTGTGGCATTCAGATTACAATCTTAAACTAAATATAATTAATGATTTTTTTATATATGTATCTAATAAAGTAAGCTTCAAACATTGTCAACATTCTCCTTAAGCATTCATGACCTGGCAGAATAATCAGACTATTCTGGGTGAATATAAGCTGTTTGAAATTTTTCAGGGAATTATTATCCATTTGAAAATAAGATGAAGAGAATATTAAATGCGTTTTGGCTTTGGGGAAATCACTTTTCCACCCTCTTAATTTTTTTAATCTATTGAAATGAAACCTGACCTCCTTTATTGTATATCAATACTCATCAATATTTAATTTAACCTTCTCTAATCTTTAGTAGATTTCTTGTTTTGCAAAATACGGCTGAAAAATGTAAATACAATTCCTTTCGGATCAGAGTTTGATGTGAGATCCTTCTGAAGATTGGTGGGTAAAGATCAGCATAGAAATAATTTCTTAGCTTTTGAAATGGTTATGCCAAGACACACAGAGAGACTCTGAGCATTAGCCAAATATCTGCCCTTAAAATCTCAACTTCAAAATTGACTTTTGCATGCATAACCTGAATTGTTGGCAACCTGTTCTGCAACACCATGGCGTACAGCAACAGGTTACTGCATAAATAATTCATTAGACCATCGCCTTCCATCATGCTTAGAAAACTGGCACCAGAGATTTTAAAATCTCAGCACATTTCAGTGTTGTTACGCCTGACCCCTTGTGTATAGCTCCTGCTCACGGGAAAGGGACAACAAGTGTTATGGCCTGCAGATGCTATCGGTGCATATTTACATGGACCCGAGAAAATACCATTAGAGTTAACAAATGTGAAAAGTATATAGTGATGTGTGTGAGAAACAGAGACAGAGAATAGAACAATGATATGCAACATGATGGATGCTTTAGTTAGATGATGCACGATTAATAGCCACAGATTAAGCAGAAACAGAACAGGACCTGCAAGACCAGACTTCAAATCTCCATAAAGCACACTGGGCAACCTTGAGCCAGTCACTGCCTCTCAGCCAAACCTACCTCACATGGTTGTTGTGAGGATTAAATGGGGGGGGGACCATATGCGCTACCCTGAAGTCCTGGGAGGAAAAGATGGGTTATAAATGTCAAAAAGAAAATAAATGCAGAAGTGACATGGACCAGAAATAGACTGATTTGCCGATCTCTACTATGGCTTGTAAAATAATCCTATAATGTAATCTAGGCTCAGGAGGAAGGATTGTTCTAGGCACATTTTGCGACATGGAGTTTCATTAGTGCAAGCGGTTTCTGAGTTCTGGGCACAGTACTGCCCCTAAGATTTCAGATTAAAACTGCAGAGTGGAAGTAAAGAAGGACCTTTTTCTGCCTTCCCACTTCCAACTACTCTTTGAAGACTGGAGAAGAGACTCTCTTAAGAATATTAGGGGGGTGGGCAGGGGAGGACTAGACCATGTGAAAATTGAACATAATATTTTAGCTGCAGTTCATTCATTTTCAGTTTGTTGTGCTTGAGGTGAGAATATTCTCTGGAAGAATGCGAATATTCTCAAGAATATTTTCTGCTAGAAAGTTCTCCGGAGAATATTCTCCACAAACAGTAAATTCTAATGTAAGAACCAGTTTTACGACCCACATTTAAAAAATCTAGTAAATAATAAGTAAAGCTGTGATATTGCCAGTGTAAGTAATGAATAATGATTTTTTTGATCTAGTTGCATTACTGAGCATTGTGTCATTCACCATTGGCAGTTCTGAAATGTGAGCTTCAGAAAACACACACACACACACACACACACACACACACATATATATATACACACAGTGGTACCTCGGGTTACATACGCTTCAGGTTACAGACTCAGCAAGTTACAGGCTCCGCTAACCCAGAAATAGTGCTTCAGGTTAAGAACTTTGCTTCAGGATGCGAACAGAAATCGTGCTTCAGCGGCGCGGCAGCAGCGGGAGGTCCCCATTAGCTAAAGTGGTGCTTCAGGTTAAGAACAGTTTCAGGTTAAGAACAGACCTCCAGAACAAATTAAATTCTTAACCTGAGGTACCACTGTATATTTAGTTTTTAAAATGCTATTCATTTAATTTGATGAACATTTGAATTGTATTTATTTCAACTATATATAATAGCCTTTTTTCTATTTTGGTGTGATCTTATTCATAGCAATTCTATACCTTTGGCCATACAGTGTGATTTTACCCCCCCAGAAAGTAGCTTTAATGCTTTATACACTTAAAGTACCTAAGCGTATACAATTATGTGTAACAGCATGTGAGGTGGCCTTGATTTAAACATTTGACATTTCCATATTTTTATTTAGTGTGGCGCTGTGGGTTAAACCACAGAGCCTAGGACTTGCCGATCAGAAGGTCGGCGGTTCGAATCCCCGCGACGGGATGAGCTCCCGTTGCTCAGTCCCAGCTCCTGCCAACCTCGCAGTTTGAAAGCACGTCAAAGTGCAAGTAAATAAATAGGTACCGCTCCGGTGGGAAGGTAAACGGCATTTCTGTGCGCTGCTCTGGTTTGCCAGAAGTGGCTTAGTCATGATGGCCACATGACCCAGAAGCTGTATTCCGGCTCCCTCGGCCAATAAAGTGAGATGAGCGCCGCAACCCCAGAGTCGGTCACGACTGGACCTAATGGTCAGGGGTCCCTTTACCTTTTACTGGTTTTTGCAGTGCCATTCAATATTCTCATTAATAGGGAATATTCTTGAGAATATTCTCCAAAAGATTATTCTCGAGAATTTAACATCACTAGTTGTGCCCATAAACCTAGGTTTAAGGTGCCATTTAGCTCCTAGTGTTCATATCTCAGTTTCTAACACTTGAAGGAAGCCCCACTTTCTACTGCCTCAGGCTGCAATCCTCTATGTACTTATTTGGAAGTAAGTCCATTGGACCCATGCATAGAATTTTACTGTAACAAGCACCTATGGATTAAGAAATGAGAAATGTCTTGAAGAAATGTCTTGAAGCTCCCTGAGACATTTCATTGGTCTCATTAGTATCTGCCGTTGAAATCCCACTTTCTTTTAACCTATAGATAATATTAACTTTGTCCTTTTCTTTAGGACAAATTGTACTGGCAAGAAGTTCCATGGAAGCCAATAAGATTGAAGTGACGGGTAAGTGAATATATTCCAAATAAAGCTAAACTAGATATGATGTTTTGCAGGGGAAACTTTATTTTGATTAATGGATATGGTTTTTCTTTTAAATGTGAAAGAAATGAACATACTCCAAGCACAGGAAAGAAGAATGTGCTTATTTTTTCCCCACTGGCATTTATTTCATTTATGTAACCAAATTCAGTGCTGCAAAGATTAAACGTGCATACTGATCATAATATTCTGCCTTGCATTGTCTGCACAATATGGTTAAAATGAATTCTCTTTTGAGAAAAAAATAACAACTTAATGATAAAAGGGCATTTTTTTCCACCCCAGAGACAGGCTGATCTGAATGTTATCAGCTACTAATTAATCTAGAATTACTTTTCAGATATTGTTTGGCAGCTAGCAGTTCTTAACAAAATAATTATATATTTGTTTCTATGGCTAACAAATTAAATGCTAATTGTGCCCTAGCTGGAAGTTGGCAGGATCTTGCAATAATTTGTTTTGGTTCATTTAATATATCTTTTATAAATGCATAATGGTAACCAACATTATTTATTTATCATGGAATAAATAAATATTTAGATCGTCTTTGCATTGTTATGGATCACTGGTGCAAGATTCATCAACTAATTTTGCATAGTAATACATTTTATAATTATGATGAGAGTTGAAGTTTCATTACAACGGCTGCAAGAACAGGCAGAGCTTGTGGAGTACATTTTTTCCCTTATTATTCATGCTGTCTGTTTGGAACATCTTGAAAACACAATGTGCTATATGGCTTTTCAGACAAAATCTAGCAGTATTTTAGTCCACAAAATTAGTGTCTCATTCTTCTAGTGTGCTGATTGAATCTATGAATTTCTCTCTTCTTTGTTTCCTTGCTAAAACTATGTCTATACCACCCTTGAATCACATTCCCAAGCAGTTTATATTAAGAATAAAACAGGTGAAGTTGCAATCCTGTGGTCTCTGGGAAGACATCCTAGGAGGCATAGGGTCTTTTGAATCACCCCCTCCTTCTTGAAAAGGGAGATCATCATGAGGATGAGGAAAGGACTGCAGCTGGTTCTTCTGATTTGGCAGTCAATGCCAGCTATGTTGGCAATATCCTGCCCCAGTAAGCAGTCAAGCTGCCATATTTTTCACTAGCTGCAGCTTCCAGACAAACTTCAAGGGCAGCCCCACATAAACTGCAGTGCAGTAATCCAGCTTGGAGGTTACCAAGTGTCCTGCAGGGTTCCATATACCATGGAATGGAGGACTTAACTTATGGGGGAATCTCCTTAATCAAACTAAGATTTCCGTTACTATTTCTGCTTTTCCTCCCTTCACCCTGTCAAAAAAAGTACAGTATATACTTTCAGAAATCCTATCTGAGTAAATATCAGAATTATGAAATTTTAAAAAGATTATTCAGGGGGCAGGGAGTGTATCTACAGTTATTTCAGATCAAACACTAGTTTCATTTTTAATCAAGAATAAAGATGTTAAAATATCATGGTCGTCTCACACAAAAAGCAGGCTGTTCCTGCAGTCTTTGCAATTTGTATCACAAATGAATGCTTCGTTAACATTTGTATACCATTTCCTGCTCAGCAAATTTCCTGTTACAATGTTCCAGCATCTGTTCAGAGAGATGAAACAAAGAACTACCACTCAGGTGTCCATTGACTGAAGATGAGTAGTGGGTAATTAATGCAGAATTTTATTGTGTGTAAACGCTTCCCAAAAATACCCTCCAACTTTATATCAATAAGAAATTAATGCTGGGGAAATTAGGATTTCTTTTTAAATTATCTCATAACCAGGATAAAAAAAAAGTTGTTAATGTATATGTGTCCAGATATAGCCTATTGATGACAGAAATGTCTCTGTGTAGCAATAGCTTCAACATCCATGCACTGAGCGGGTAACCAGGAGGAATAATAAATTTTGCTCAACAGTGTGCTTCTTAATATACAGCATCTAAACTGAAAGTTTCAAATATCCCCCTTCTGGAAGTTGTACATCAGGGAATTACAATCAGCTCAGCATTTCTGCTAAGGAGAGAAATAGTGTTATTTGAGTTTTAATGTGAAATCTATAACATTTGAACTTTGGCTAATTGAAAAATATGGTGCTCTCTCTCTCTCTTTTAGTACAGCAGTATTTGTAGTTAACTTTCCAGAGCTACAGAGAGGCAATACCACAAGTCTTAACTCTAAAGCTAAAGTTTCTCCTGATTTTCAGCACCAGATGCTAAGTTAATTACTGTAGCCCTCTTCAGTCCTTGCCTTCAGCTGCAAGATCTGAAGGGGCTTGTGCGTGTGCTCATTTGAACCCATTTACAAGCCTTCACACAATTGGGAACGCTGCATTGTGGAGAAGTAGAGTGGTGAAGCTGGAACACCTCCTTTCTCTTAAAAAACACCCATTACAGTAAAACAAAACCCAAACAGAAACAGCAGTAAGTAAAATAGCAAATGAGTCATAAAAATTAGTAAAGATCAAATGAGACAAAAGGTTCGTGTGAATAAGGGTTTGGTTGGGGCCTTTCGTCCTATGCTATGTTCATGCATCCATTATTTCTAGTGGAAAGTCCCTTGGCAAACTTGCTATGAAGATCCACAATGAATGTAAGATTCTCTCTCTTATACAAAGAAACACAATCATTTTGATTCTGTCTAGACCAATGATATCAAGCCACCACCTTTCTTCTGACCTTTCAATAGAGTATTCTTAGATAGTGAGTCCTACTACTTTATTGTTTTGAGTGCTCCTTTCATAAATTTCAGGGCCAATGGAAGAATTGCCACTATAAATGGAAGTTAAACTATAAACAGGAGCTACATCTCACCTTAAGGTTCAATTGCAAGAACAGCTTGGGGCCAACAGGTCAAGTGGATGAAATCATAAAGGTCTGGAAGTATATAAAATGTGAGAGATTCAAGGGCAAGTTTCCATCTTAGTAAAAATACTTATCTGAAACTGGAACAATATGGCATGGATTTTTATTTTTGACACGTTCTTTTTCCTGAGCGAGCATTTAACAATGTGAGAGGAAAGACCTTGATGGTAGGGGCTTTCTCCCTTTCCCTGTTTCACTCATTGCAGACAAAGGAAGGACTGTGGAAGAAATATGATTTAATCCCATGTAAGGAAATTTAATTTCTTCCTTTATATAGGTTTAGATGTGAATATTATTTTTATTTTTAGGGTTTATGGCCTATCTTTGCCATACATACACCATAGTTATTGTATGTATTCCCCCAATCTGTTTTTTGTGTCTCTCTGTTTTGCTGGCCACAGGAGGGATTTTCCAGTTCATAAACAGATTCACTTGTTCAAGTTGTGGCTAGTTGCCCGTCAAGCCCCGAAACCCACCCCCATGGAAATAAAGACACAAAGGAGACAGAAATTAGTTAAGGTTAATGGGCAAATTTAGGCCACAACTTTATTGAATACACAAGTGTGGCTGGTATTGGCTTAGGCATTGGTATCTAATGACTATAACTGGCTCCTGCCCACGCAGCAGGAAGCCTGCAAAGGGTAAACTAGCAGCAGAGGGAGCTCCAACAATGGCTATTGACTGGTGCTCACCCCTGGGGTTACCGGGGGTCCTGGCATGGCCCTAGCCCCTCCTGGGCTTCGGACAAGATCCAGACCCCAGATTCCTTTAACAGAATACCCTATCAAATGGAGGGGCAGGTGATGGCCGCACCTCCCCTCCCTACATTCCCCTAAACCAACCAATGCCTAACTGCCAAACCTTACAAAGTTGTGACGATTGCTAAGAGGTAGGCAAAAACCAAGTAGCCACTGCCAATCTGCCATGCTGGAAAAAATTCCTACCCGGCCCCCATTCCAAAACAAGCGACCAACCAAAGTCCAAAGCAAGGCCAGACACCGATCTAACAACCGGTGGGTGGGCGGGTGTTCGGCAGCGGGAAGCAAGAGACACGCACATGTCATGCTGCCGTCTATATACTTACTTTGAAATCACGTCAGCACTGCTGATTGGCCCCAAGGACCCCGGCGTGGTCGCAGCACTACCGGCCAGTTTCAGGACAAAGCCCCGCCTCCAGGCCGGTTTGGGGGGGAGTCCTGGGGCTGTGTACAACATTGACCCTTGGGTAGGAGGATCCAACGTTTAAATCAAAACCTTATTGTGTCCTTCCTTTGTTCTTTTTTTGGCTATCCAGCATGGAGCAATTGTGCAGACAACTCCCCCATTTACACATGTTCTATATGTGCACAACCGCACATATGTGCCAAACCTGGAAGTGACCCCAAAAGTGTCAAAAATGTCACCAAAAAGGGGTGAGGTGTGGAGGGAGCAGAACAAGGTGTTTGCAGGTTTTTTCAATGGTGTTTCAAATTGATTACATTTAAACATGAGGTGCCTCAGAACATAGTCCCAGTGTAAATAGGGGCTGCATAGTCCCAGTGTAAATAGAGGCTGTCTCACCGTGCTATCCTAACTGCTTACTCCTGTGGAATAATTTGACCTTAATGGGACTTAACTCTGAATAAATATACTTAGATTCACACTGCAAAACTACAGTCCTATAAACATGTATAATATGAGAGTAAGTTCCACTGTACAAGATTAGGGAAATACCATAACTGCCTTGTTGTTAATACAACTCTTGTTACAAAAGCGCTATTATTTTGAAGCCATTTTGACAGTCTGGGTGTTCAGCGGATGCTCTTCAATAGCACATTTCTGCAGAGAAAGCTCAGGGTTGGCAATTTGTGCAAACTGCTTTATAATAATGGTCTTTTTACATTGGTAAGTCGTAGAATACTTTCTTATCTGCACTAATTTTGTTACAAATAACACAATTAAGGGGGAAATTAAGGTACACGTGACTAATGAGTATGTACTATATAACACAGTACTTAATATGAACCAAGTAGAGATGGGTTTGGGAAAGGAGTGTCTGGGCATGGAATATTGGTGCTATGTGCTATAGTTTATCTTTAAGTTCCACTGCCATTGTTCTTTTTAGCATCATATTTTG